ACAGACGCGCCACACACAGATCACAGACGCGCCACACACACGCGCCACACACACACGCGCCACACGCAGATCACAGACGCTACGCCGAGGTTCTGGCCACACACGGAAATCACACTACTCGGATATTCTGCACCAGAGTTTATTAATGGCGTCAATACGCATTACCCGGAGGAGGAATATTTCGCGCGGAGAGCCTCGCGTAACTCTGCCTATGAACCCAGCTACTCACACGTCCTGCCACGTACCTTGAGACTGGACCCGCGGCGTCCCACGGACGCTGAGAGAGTCGAAGGGAGAAGGACGAGAGAAGACTTGCCTAATCACTGTCTCGCAGCACCACTCGTTGGCATCACACGGATGCTGTGAGCGGCTTGAAGAGGCAGGACGGCAGTGGACCCAATCGTCCGCGGGCTCCCACCTTTATACTCTCGCTGCCGCTCCGCTCACCCATTGTCCTCCCATGCCCACTCGTCCTAGTTTTCGGTCTTGTTCTTTATTTCTAGTCTTCGGGTCCGCTCTCTATGCCTCCCACCCATTGGTCTTCCGTGCACAGTAGTTCGAGCCTTTGTTTTATTTACACTCTTTTCGCTCCTTACCCATTGTTCCTTGCTCAGGGTGCCTAATATTCCACCCTCCGTCCTCCCCCAAATGTTGCGTGTAACTCATTGCGGTTGGCCCAGGGAACGTTTTCTTTTTGTGCCCATACAATTTAAGCCAATTTTGGGGCACCGCAATGTAACCTGTCCTGTGGGGGTTGGCCAATCTCCTGGCACCGGGAAACCGTGGGACTCTCCCCTTAGGGGCCCTTCAGATGAAAACCCGACGTGTCAGGCTACCCCCCGCCAGGACACTACGTGGGTGTGCTGCGTGCGGGTGTGTGTTTAGTGCAGGGGCGGGCGGGAGGGAGTCGCGGCGCTTGCGGAGTTGCTCTGCGGTCGTGGCACCACAGCTGCATGTCGCTCTTGAGTCTATCTCAGGAGTTTGAGGCAGCTAAGTCGCTCCTAAGTCTATCTCAGGGGTCTGAGGCTGCCTGTTGCTCCCGGAGTCTATCTCAGGAGTTTGAGGCTGCAAATCGCTTCTGAGTTTATCTCAGGGGTCTGAGGCTGCCTGTTGCTCCTGAGTCTATCTCAGGAGTTTGAGGCTGCAAATCGCTTCTGAGTTTATCTCTGGGGTCTGAGGCTGTAAGCCACTGCCACACGAGGCCCCAATGAGATTATCGAGTCAAAATATCATCTTGCGGTTAGGTCACTTTTTTGGGGGACATGTGAGTGGGTTGCTTGTTTGGTTGTGTTTTGTTTTTGTATTTTTAAGTTTGATTGGTAAAAGTCGGTGGTTCGTCGATTCGGGTGACCTGCGCTGGCGCTGGGGAGTGGCTGTGCTTTAAGAGGGGTTGAAAAGAGGTCATAACAGACCCAATCCTCACACTGATGACAGGTTTGAGCAGATGCTGCTCAGTGGACTTTTACAGAAGGACTATAATTATTTTGCGGGTTTCCCCTAATCTGCGTCACTCCGCGCCAGACCAAAACACTTTAAGGACCGTAAAACCGCGATCCATAGAAGTTGGCTAATGCGCAGCTACAGGAGCAGAGCTGCAGGGAAATGCGTCGAGAAGATTTATTTATTTAGCTTTACATTTCTTTGTTTTGCATCAGCACAGTCTAGCCGTTATCACGTGATTTGCTAAATGGAATAGAATATAGTTTTTTTTACTTAGATATTAAGGCGTTTTTTTTATCGTTTATTAATTTAGCCAAGAATCGCGTGCTACGCTTTTCATGTAATCCACACATTTTTTTTCGCGAATAGAATTACCCGGCTCTTTCCTTCCATAATCTGTGGGAACACACCGTGTCGCCACAGAAAAAATAGCATACGTTATAAGAGCTCACCATCCGCAGTGTACTGCAGATTACAGGATCATTGGAGTTCTGCTACATATCACAGGATCACGGGGAATGGCGGTGGCTTCTGGAAGCCTTCATTCAAAGGTGAATTGGCCATGGCTGATGACGATGATGATGTTAAATTGCCTTGAGTAATTGTGCAGCACAATGCGAGATACAGCTGGAAATCGCCCAGGAAGGTCTTCTCAGTATTTGCAATGCCAGATGGTGCACATTTCATTGGCTCTTTCTCTTGACTAACTTTCAAAGATTTCTCAGAATAAGTGATAGACTCTATGAAAATGCCAACAACCGGACTATTGGTAGACTAAAAAAAAACAACGAGTTGTCGGGATTTATTACAGAGAAATAAAATAATGGCGATTTTGCATTGGCAGTGGTGCACGAGCAAAATAAATTACTAAAACTCTCATTTGTCAATAAAGCCGCCGCAAAATGAAAAAGAATAAGCGAGTGTGCGGGAAATGACCCTTATTCATAGCAAAGAAGGGCCATTGCACAACACATCTCCTGTAGAAAAGTATTCATGGCAATCTTAGCTCAACTCAAAAAAAGGGTTCATTTTCAACTTTCTAGTTATGACTTCAGCTCGCAAAAGCAACAGCATCATCAACAGCAACAACAATAGCATACATACACAGTCACAGCTTCTCGTCTTTCTCCGGCTTCTGACAGCCCTATTGATACAGCAGGAGCTGTGCAAATTAGCCTGGCTTAAAGAATACCCTGTCCTACCAATCAGGTGAGCACTGTTACTCGTTGCTCATCCACCAGCCCAATTGGAAGCACTTTTTCATCACAGTGCCGCAAAAGGCTATGGGCTATTACACGAGCCAACGCATGTCGCCTCTCGAATAATGAAATCATGTAACACCCCAACCCCCACCTTGTTACAGTCGCAAATTAAAAAAAAAATTTCATTTCAGATAAGTTTTATTTGACACAGTGTAAATGTTTCCAGGACGTGCTTTGATGACGTATTGGAGAATGTAAAAGACAAATGAACTGATGTTTTCTCAGATTTATATTCATGGCGCATCATCGGCAGCAGCAGCAGCATTCCATCGGGCTGTGGGCACGGCAGTTCTGGGCGCCCCCTCGTGGCTGGGCGCGGCGCAGCAGCCCAGGGCCAGGACGGGCAGGCGGGTAGGGAGTGGAGCGACCTGGGACCCTGCAGGAGCCCAGGGCCAGGACGGGCAGGCGGGTAGGGAGTGGAGGGACCTGGGACCCTGCAGGAGCCCAGGGCCAGGACTGGCAGGTGGGTAGGGAGTGGAGGGACCTGGGACCCTGCAGGAGCCCAGGGCCAGGACTGGCAGGTGGGTAGGGAGTGGAGGGACCTGGGACCCTGCAGGAGCCCAGGGCCAGGACTGGCAGGCGGGTAGGGAGTGGAGGGACCTGGGACCATGCAGGAGCCCAGGGCCAGGACTGGCAGGCGGGTAGGGAGTGGAGGGACCTGGGACCCTGCAGGAGCCCAGGGCCAGGACTGGCAGGTGGGTAGGGAGTGGAGGGACCTGGGACCCTGCAGGAGCCCAGGGCCAGGACTGGCAGGCGGGTAGGGAGTGGAGGGACCTGGGACCCTGCAGGAGCCTAGGGCCAGGACTGGCAGGCAGGTAGGGAGTGGAGGGACCTGGGACCCTGCAGGAGCCCAGGGCCAGGACTGGCAGGTGGGTAGAGAGTGGAGGGACCTGGGACCCTGCAGGAGCCCAGGGCCAGGACTGGCAGGCGGGTAGGGAGTGGAGGGACCTGGGACCCTGCAGGAGCCCAGGGCCAGGACTGGCAGGTGGGTAGGGAGTGGAGGGACCTGGGACCCTGCAGGAGCCCAGGGCCAGGACTGGCAGGTGGGTAGGGAGTGGAGGGACCTGGGACCCTGCAGGAGCCCAGGGCCAGGACTGGCAGGCGGGTAGGGAGTGGAGGGACCTGGGACCATGCAGGAGCCCAGGGCCAGGACTGGCAGGCGGGTAGGGAGTGGAGGGACCTGGGACCCTGCAGGAGCCCAGGGCCAGGACTGGCAGGTGGGTAGGGAGTGGAGGGACCTGGGACCCTGCAGGAGCCCAGGGCCAGGACTGGCAGGCGGGTAGGGAGTGGAGGGACCTGGGACCCTGCAGGAGCCCAGGGCCAGGACTGGCAGGCAGGTAGGGAGTGGAGGGACCTGGGACCCTGCAGGAGCCCAGGGCCAGGACTGGCAGGTGGGTAGAGAGTGGAGGGACCTGGGACCCTGCAGGAGCCCAGGGCCAGGACTGGCAGGCGGGTAGGGAGTGGAGGGACCTGGGACCCTGCAGGAGCCCAGGGCCAGGACTGGCAGGTGGGTAGGGAGTGGAGGGACCTGGGACCCTGCAGGAGCCCAGGGCCAGGACTGGCAGGCGGGTAGGGAGTGGAGGGACCTGGGACCCTGCAGGAGCCCAGGGCCAGGACTGGCAGGTGGGTAGGGAGTGGAGGGACCTGGGACCCTGCAGGAGCCCAGGGCCAGGACTGGCATGGCGGGTAGACATGAGGATGGCGCGCCGCGCACCGTAAAGACGGATTGCACTCCGAAATCATTCGTCAACTGCTCTCGCATCAATATTCAGCGCGGCCAGACGGCACGCCACTGCTCTCCCCTTGCGTGGGGGGGGGGGGCCGGCGGAGAGATGGCCCATGATTGTATTTACGGCGCTCGGAGATGGATGACCCCGCCGCGTTGTCCGAGTCGCGCGGACTCCCCGTCAAGGCTTCATTGCGCGCACATTTGGGCAGAGGAGTGGTGGTGGGGGGTGTGGTTGGTATAATTGCTCACACATTTAGTTCGGCAAATGCGTAGCCAACGTGTCGGGCATCCAGCTTGTATACAACGGGCAACGGGGGGAGGGCGGGGATGAGAGCATGCAATGCGGAGACGATACATCCGTGTGGGGTGGGAATAGTGCGGTCGTACACGAGGCAACCACCACCACCAAGCAGCAATCACGGCACGCGCGTGTCCGCCACGTGTAGTGCGCGTGTCCACGAGAGGGTATCCGCACTAATTGAGGCTTTGGCGCAAAAGAAAAACCTCGCTTCTCATTCCACTCGCGCCCCTCGGGTGCTTGGCATCTGCGTGCACAATAATAACAACGATGCGATGGCGTATGCTACTTGTCTAAGCTGGTACAACAACAACAAGAAGAAGCAACAAGCGAAGCTTGGCTGCCAGTGCAGCACCCAAACTCGGCAGGTACAATGATGGTGTTTACCTGCGGGACGTCTACGGCGTGAGCGCTACGTCTCTCTCTCTCTGTGTATGTCTGTGTGTGTGTCTGTGTGTGTGTATGTGTCTGTGTGTGTGTATGTGTGTGTGTCTCTGTGTATGTGTCTGTGTGTCTGTGTGTGTGTCTGTGTGTGTGTCTCTGTGTGTGTCTGTGTGTGTGTATGTGTCTGTGTGTCTCTGTGTGTGTGTCTCTGTGTGTGTCTGTGTGTGTGTGTGTCTGTGTGTGTATGTGTCTGTGTGTCTCTCTGTGTGTGTCTGTGTGTGTGTCTCTGTGTGTGTGTATGTGTGTGTGTGTCTCTGTGTGTGTGTATGTGTCTGTGTGCCTTTGTGTGTGTGTCTGTGTGTGTCTCTCTCTGTGTGTCTGTGTAAAGATTGCTTTTGCGCTTCCCCCGACATCCACCGGTACCCCCCCCCCCCACCAACTCCGATCCACCCTCCACCTTTTGCTCCGCCGATATCCACCCTCAACCCGTCGCTCTCCACAGCCCCCCCCCCCATCTCGCCGCAGCGCGACGGGGCTTGTGAGTCTCCCCCCCCCCCGCCCCCATGCGCAGGCGCAGTTTTGTCTATCGAGCGGGTGGGGGGGGGGCAGAGGCGATCTGATGGCGAGGAGAAGTGGCGCTCGGGAGCGCGTGGCGAGGATGCGCGCCGCTACTGCTGCTGCTGTGGCCGCTACTGCTGCTGCTGTGGCCCCTGCTGCTGCTGCTGTGGCCCCTGCTGCTGCTGCTGCTGCTCATACTGCTGCTGCTGCTGCGTTAGCCCCGCGGGGGCGGTGATGCCGCGCAAAGTTGGCTCGCTGCACACCACAGGCGCTGGCAGGCGCGCAAGAGGATCAGCAGCAGCAGCAGGAGGAGGAAGAGGAGAAGGACGTGGCGCCCATGTATGCGTGGCTCTCTGAGGTGAGCGAGCGACGCACGCCGGGGGCGGGGGGGTGCGAGGCACGCAGGGACATGCACACGCTCGCACGCACACACACGCACACACTCGCACACACTCACAGACATACGCACACACTCGCACGCACACACACACTCGCACGCACACACTCGCACACACTCACACACACTCACACACACACGCACACACACGCTCGCACGCACACACTCACACACACACGCACACACACGCTCGCACGCTCGCACGCACACACACTCGCACGCACACACACGCACACACTCGCACACACTCACACACACACGCACACACTCGCACGCACACACTCGCACGCACACACTCGCACACACACTCACACACACTCACACACACACGCACACACTCACACACACACGCACACACACGCTCGCACGCACACACTCACACACACACGCACACACACGCTCGCACTCACACACTCACACACACACGCACACACTCGCACACACTCGCACACACTCACACACACTCACACACACTCACACACACACGCACACACTCGCACGCACACACTCGCACACACACTCACACACACTCACACACACACGCACACACTCACACACACACGCACACACACGCTCGCACGCACACACTCACACACACACGCACACACACGCTCGCACTCACACACTCACACACACACGCACACACTCGCACACACTCGCACACACACGCACACACTCGCACACACGCACACACTCACACACACACGCACACACACGCTCGCACGCACACACACTCGCATGCACTAGCACACGCACACACTCGCACACACTCACACACATACGCACACACTCGCACGCATACACACGCACAAACACGCACACACTCGCACGCACACACTCGCACGCACACACACGCACACACAAGCACACACTCACACACACACGCACACACTCGCACGCACACACTCGCACACACACACGCACACACACGCACACACTCGCACACACTCACACACACACGCACACACTCGCACACACTCACACACACACGCACACACTCGCACACACTCACACACACACGCACACACACGCACACACTCGCACACACACACTCGCACGCACGCAAACACTCGCACACACGCACACACACGCACACGCACACACTCGCACACACTCACACACATACGCACACACTCGCACGCATACACACGCACAAACACGCACACACTCGCACGCACACACTCGCACGCACACACACGCACACACAAGCACACACTCACACACACACGCACACACTCGCACGCACACACTCGCACACACACACGCACACACACGCACACACTCGCACACACTCACACACACACGCACACACTCGCACACACTCACACACACACGCACACACTCGCACACACTCACACACACACGCACACACACGCACACACTCGCACACACACACTCGCACGCACGCAAACACTCGCACACACGCACACACACGCACACTCACACACACTCGCACGCACGCACACACTCGCACACACACACGCACTCGCACACGCACGCACACACACGCACACACTCGCACACACACGCACACACTCGCACAAGCACGCACACACTCGCACACACACACTCGCACGCACACAGCCCGTACGCGCACAGCGCATCGCAATCTGGCGGGGTGCTCCTCGCGGCGTGTGCCCAATGCGGAGGGGACGGCAACAACCGCAGATCGCTCTCTGTACCTGCGGGACGTGAGCGCGCGGTGTGTGCTGCTGCTGCTGCTGTTATTATTATAATTACCACACGCGCGGCATTGATACACATCATCACGACCGCAGTCTGCTGCTTGTCAGTGCAGTACAGATTTGGAGGAGCGCAGTCCACAAGAGTACGTATCCAAAGTGCAATACAGAATAGCCAGGGTTATATCGTTTGAGACAATATTTTGTATTGCAGATGGGGGGCTGGGGGTGGGGGAAGTGAGAGAGGTGAAGTGTTCTTATAAAAGCATAAATGTTAACATTGGGACCGGCACTTGCGTCTTGCCGGGAACGTAAAGACATCTCGCGGTAGAAACGCGCGGGCGAGATCCGTTGTTTGCTTGTGACCGGTTTCATTATACGGTAGTAAATTGATGTGTTTAAAATGCAGGGCATGCCTCGGAGCCAGTGACGGTGACAAAAGGAGCCTGGGAGTGAGACCGAGTCTCACTTTCCTCCCCCCGCCTGAAGGATTATAGAGTCGTAAATGGAAGGAAGGGGAGTTCAACCAAAAACGGCCTCTTGTCTTCGTGTGCATTTCGTGATTTTGTTCGTCTCGGTGAGCCTTACGGAGCTGCAGATTTAAACTTAACAGTGCACATCTTGGATCGGGTTGGGTGCCAAGTATGCGCGACTGCCTGTCATTTGCAGGTGATGTACGTTATTTTATTTATTTAACTGTTTAAAATTGGAAGAAAAAAACTCACGCCACACGAATTGGTTTATGATGCACTATATGACGGCACTATATTAAAACAATCAATTGTAACGGCCCTCTGTCGTGCCATTACAATATTAGCCAGCTACATACCAATGCAGCTGTGACAAATAAACAATTGGCAATTATTTTTGATGTTCCTTGGGGAAGAGGTTAAACTCATTGAATACGAATGCATTGCACACACGCGGATGACACGACGATATTTACAACATCATTGCATTCCAATCCTCTCTATGTATGTTTGAAGTATTTTTTTCATACAAACGATAGGCGTTTGCAGGAGAGGTTTTTGCTTTTTCGGGAGTGACCCTAATCAGCGCAGTGACTGTGTGAATGTGCGGGATGTTAACGGTGATGAAGGTGCTGCTGCATTATGTGTATAGGTAACTCTTTTAAATACCTACTACTAGAATCGTTTCAGTCGGAGGGGAAATAAGTTAAGAGCATTTCCCTGCCTTTTCAGATGTTTGTCTGCGATAGTTGCAAAAAAAAGATCATCTGCTTTCAATGCACACACGAAGGGCGAGTGGGACTGGCTTGCCGTCCAAAACCTCGCGTGTGTCAAACTGACCGTGACATCTTTAAATGTGCGTGGACGTTTCGGCGGTACCGCTTGATTTACAGGCTCGCAGAGAGAGAGAGGCGAGCGAGAGCGTAATCGACATTACCACCACTCAGTCTTATTGTAACGCGGGGTGTACACTTCCATCAGCAAAGTAACGCAATCAATGGCGAGCACTGTGTGTGTGGCCAGCACTAATTGCGAGAGAGACCGGCGGCTGCTGCTGCTGCTGCTCCTTGCGAGATTCGCCGATCCGTATTCTGGATTCGCACCTGCGTAGCAGTGCCTGGATCCCACCTCCCCCCCCCCCCCCCCACTGTGAGAACAGACAAAGCCCATATGTCTTTTATTTCATATCAGCAAATGAGGAAAGGAGAAGAAAGTGAGAGAGATAGGTTAAGCCTGCAGTGTATATCGTTGCACAAGTTAATGTGCACTTCATTGTAAACAAAACTAACAACTGTCCCTTTGTTTTGGGGCGAGGAAGGGGGCAGATAACTGTAAGGAGAACAATTTCATTGCATTATCCCCATCTGCCACTTTTTCGTTTGTTCATTGAGAAACTTGAGGTGTTTGACAGCGACTGGCTGGATATATACCCTCGGCGTTCGGAATACTCCCCTCAGACTCGCGTCCTATATTGATGATCGTACGATATATTACGTGACCTTACGCAATAAGTAATTTTCTGGGGAAGAGGAGCAATTATTTTTCAAACGAGAAAAACATTGTCAAGGCTGTAGAAGAAAGGACACGGAACAGACGAGACACTTATTTTCAAAAAAAAAATACCTATTCAGTTTGCCAATGGAATAGGCACTTCATGCAATGTAAAGGTGATGTAGAAATTTAATTATTTTTTATAATTGTGTATGGGGAAATTATTATTAGGAGGTTAATATGTTTTCCTTAAAAGCACTTATAATGTTAATATATACACACTGGTATACATTGCACTGTGTATTAGGATTGTATATTTTCGACATATTTTTGTATTTATATTAAATACTTGTATTCCATTTGTAATATTAAAAAAATCAGCACACTACTCAATAGCAATGCCTTAAAGTATTCACTTTTTGGGTAACATGCTCAAACGCAGTGATTTAAAGGGACACTGCAAATATAAGCAGATTTTCTATTTTTGTTAAACATCATAATTGACATTTCATTTTACAGTATAGCAGATAAAATCAATTTTACTAAACACTGAAAGAAAAAAGAAAACCGTTTCACATCAGCTTTTGCATTGGATGCATGCAAGCCATCATAATATATTGATCATATTGACAACGTATTATGTGATCTCGTAATGCACTCAACAATACAATGTGGATTTATATCGCTTCAAAATTCAACCACATCTCAGGACCCTGTGCAAAAAACAATGGGAATATTGATTCCACAGAGGCAGAGCGAAAACCAGAGGAAGATTATGAACCTGGACTTGAAAAGGAGGCAGTGAGTCAACAACAAGGATGGCGAGGAGAAGGGATTCTCAGACCCTGGGGTTAGCAGATGGGGGTGAGGGACCCCCCCCCCCCCCCCCACTAAGCGAAGGTTTGGCTGAGGGCTTCGACAGAAAAACATCGGTTGCTGGAGCAGAGTGCGTATGAAGGAGAGTGCAGTGAGTTGAGAACGGAGAGGTAAGCAGAGGCGAGTCCACGGAGGATGCTGACGATGGTGAGTGAGATCTTGACATTGATCTAGGGATTGGATTTGGGGCTCGTGGAGGGATTATAGTGTTGGGGTAATATGGGCTCATTAATTTGTGTTTAGTTTCTTGTGCTTCCCCGCACCTCTGATTCGCACGGTTGCTGCGTATGGTGCGAAATAAGTTAAACATACATTCATTCATGAGTACGGGTGAGAATTGTGACAGTTTCACTATGGATCATTGGAATTTGGAGATGAGGATTTTGGAGTGTTCACAGAGAGAGAAGAGAGTTGCAACAGTCAAGTCCTGATGTGCGGAAAT